CAAATTGGATGGGTAGTTATTTCTGCTGTAAAGCAATGCAGTTTTAAGGGTCTGGGATAAACTGTCTATAAATCAGGGATGCAGAGGGCCAAAAGAACTCCAGCTTTAAATCTTAGTTTTTTCTTGATCTCTGGTTATTTGAGATTAAGAAAAAATTCCTAAAGTCTAGTTTCCAGAAGCTCTAAAAGTTTTAAGTAACTTGTTGATCTGCAATAAGAAAAAAACCATGGAATTTTATGACTGGCTTTATTTTTTAGCCAGTAGTCCTTGCCACCATTATAAATTTCTGGTTCAAAATTTAATTGATCCTTTAACCTAAAAGTAATAATTTTTTCCCAAAAGTAGTCCATAAACCTCTTAACATTTTCAGAGCTTCTAGATACCAAAAACTAGGAAAATACAACCATTTTGTGAATCCGAAGTCCTTTTTTGGACTCTGCATCACTGCTATATTTTAATTGTTGCCTTCTCATAAAGATGGTTGATTACTGTATTAATCAACTAATTTTTATACTGTTTAGTGGGAACAGGCAGCCCGGGGCTGTGTAGTGCTAGTTCAGTCTCTTAAAAACCCTAGGACATTCAGAAAAATTCTTGAAACATCTGGAATACTCTAGCAGTTTAGGAGTATTCTAGAAGTTCAGCATTTAATTTGAATTAACACGCAAACTTTAAAATATTTAAAATTGAAATATTTCTATTTCACAGAAACAAAATTTTTGTGGAACAACAGCTATTTTCTATTTGTTTTAGGCAAAACGGATTGAAAAAGCAAACTTTTAAACCAAGAACAAAAAATAAAAATTGTGTTATCAATTTAAAACAGTTCTACATAGTGTTATAAAATAGGAACACTTTTTTAGGTAAGATTTCAAAGGTAATTATACTGAGGTATCTTATGAACATTCCTTCTAGACCAAAAGCAAAAAACTCTTGTTGAAGAATATTAAATATATAAAGATTCAAAATAGAATAAAACTTCATAACAGTGTGACCATTCTTAACCTATTAATATTTATACTATTTATAAATGACATTTCAAAATTATGTCAAGGCCTACTTAAGCAGTTTGCTGATGACAGCAAATAATTAACACCATAAAAAATTAGTTTGAAATTAAATAACTACATAAAAAACAAGCTGAAAAAAAAAAAAATGCAAAGTTGACAATCAAAAAAAATGCTAAGTTGACAATCAAAAAATTATCTAACACAATAACAAGTAAGATAATAGACACACAAAATTATTGCCTATCAACCAAAAGCAAAATTTTGAAATTTAAATAACAAGCAATCTAAAATGGTCAACCCAATTAATAAATTAAAAAAAAAAAAAAATGCAACAGTTAAAGCTAATACAGCACTAGTATTATATATTCAGGTATTGAATATTAAGGTACTGAAACCCTTGAATACTTAAATGTGCTTTATACCATATTTGTGAGGCCAAACCATGAGTATGGCATGTCTGGATGGGCTGCTATCAAAAAAACTTATGAAAAAGTAACTGAACAAGTATAAAGACAAGCCACCAATTTATGACATTGATTAAGGGACTTAAAGTATAAAGAACGAATACTCAATATTCAATCAAATAAGATCAAAATAAAGAGATAAATGTAATATTTTTAATAAAAGCACAGGTTTTAATATTACACTATATACCCACTGATCAAACTAGTCTAGCTCTGGTAAATGTGGGCTGCTAACAACAAAGCTTATGAAAAAATAATTGAACAAGCATAAAGATGAGATGAATTGAACAAGCATAAAGACTGATTTGACATTGATTAAAGGGTTTAAAGTATAAAGAATGACTACTCAATATTCAATCAAATAAGATCAAAATAAAGGGATAAATGTAATATTTTTTTAAAAAAGCACATTTTAATATTACACTATATATTCACCCACCAAACAAGTCTAGCTCTGGTAATTGGGGCATTCCAGTTGGCATAGTTTTTTTTGTTAAACATAGCAGATACTTGAAACATACTAGTGGATGTAGTTTCAAAACAACTTTTCGAAGAGAAAATTTTTTTTATACAGTTCAGCTGTTATGCCCGTCATGCCGAAATAACATAATGCCTAATAAATGTGAGTCTCTTGTTGCCTTAATCCCACCAAAAGTACAGACAGTATAAGGAATCCATAAAAAGTACTGTGACTTTTTTATTATTTTATATTTGAGTATGCTGTTTTTTAAATTAATTGTATTGTGCATTATTGTGCAAATAATTTTTATAGTTAATTGTACATTAATGGTACAAAAGCAATTTTTTTACTATTAAAATTGGTTGCATCTCTTTAATCATAACTGATTGATTTATTAAATCAATTCAAATTATTTAAATTAACTATATCATTTAAAAAATGTTTGTTGTATAATTAACTAACATCCACTATATAACATGTATAATAAAGACAAAAAAAAAAAATACCTTCATGCATTGAGCATTTGACTCAAAGCTTGTGATATTGCTAGCAATTGTTGTTAAATTATTTTCAACATCTGAAACTGTTGGTTGATCTACAATGACATATGCAAATATAAGCAAGTTTTAATTTTATATTTAGATAAAATAAGAAAGTTATATACTTTTATTATACATATTTCTTATCATTTATAAATGTAAAATGTAGACTTGACTGAGCTAAAAAAAATACAAAATTTTTTTTAATTAAAAAAGTAAATTCAGAACTCAAACAAATTTTATGAAAATTCACCAAAAATCAACACAAAAATTAATAATAATAAAATAATCATAAAAAATAAAAAATAAAATAAAGTATTTATTTTGAATAATAATTTAAATAACAAGCAATGACTAACAACTAATTAAAAAAAAAATAACTTTTAATATTTGAAATTTAAAAAATTAATAAGTTTTGATAAGTTTGCGTTTAATATATTCACATCATTTAGTTATATATAAATTTTATACTTTAACGCATATCAATGATAAAAACTTTATTACTTTTACGTTCACTTTCTAATACATCATCAACTAATAGTCCTTCATCAATAAACAGATTTTTTCTCTTGTTTGAGTACCCTTTGAAAGTAATTTCATTATCAGCATACGCTTGCTCTATGTTATTCCATCTCGCTTGTCCCTCAGAAGTTAGCATTGGATAAACTGTAAAAAAATTTATTAACAATTTTAATATTTAATAAAACTAAAAAAATGCTGTCAGGAAATATTATATAAAAATGCTTAATCTATTTTTTTTTATGAATATTAGCAACATTTACTTTCTACCATTATTTTGTTATTGAACATTTGCAACTTTTACTTTTTAACATTATTTTGTTATGGAACATTTGCAACATTTACTTTTTAACATTATTTTGTTACTGAACATTTGCAACATTTACTTTCTACCATTATTTTGTTATTGAACATTTGCAACATTTACTTTCTACCATTATTTTATTATTGAACATTTGCAACATTTTCTTTCTACCATTATTTTGTTATTAAACTGCATTTTGTAATATTCATAAAGTAAATATAAATATAATTTATAAATATAAACGTCTTTAACAACCTATTTTATTAGTTTACTTAAGTCCATAAAAGAATTTGCAATACCATTTCTTAATTGCTTTATGTAGTTTTATTTAATTACTGAATTACTGGTTTTATTTAAATTACTGAATTTTGGAATTCAGAAAACGAAAGAACATGAATTTTTATTTAATATTTATAAATTGTTTATTTACCTAAAAAATTATTATCTAAATGTTATTATCTAAAAAATAAAACATATTGCAATCCAGAATTTAAAACCAATAAAAATCAAGTGCTATTACTTGCAAACTAGAAACCAAACAAATAAAAATTAGGTGTCACTAAAAAATCTGTGAAATTAAGGAGATTAAGGTGATGCCATAAATAAAAGAAAGAAAATACAATGATTCTCAGGCAGCAATTTTAAAACCGGTGAAACAAATATCTTAACTGTTTACGGTCCATCAATGTTTGTTTTATTGTGCAACAATTAAATATTAAATGGCTAAAAAAACCTCATATTTTAGCTTTCATTAAAAAGTAAAAATTTTAAAACCTAAGTTTTCATATAACCTCAGACAATTCAAAATTGTTGTTTGAATAAATTAACAAAACAAATCATTTTATCTTTTATTTAACTCTTGCCATATAGTGATTAGCTAAAATTTGAAACTCGTAGAACTTTAGATTACTATGTATGTCTAGAGAACTTGTTTTTTGATAGCCAACTAAAATACTATTACTATAAGAATTATAAAACTTCTTTGTGTTTCTTTGTTTTGGACTGATAGCCAACTAAAATGCTATTACTATAAGAATTATAAAACTTCTTTGTGTTTCTTTGTTTTGGATTGGCAACCAAGAACAAATCAAGATTTCATTCAATCTTACATCAAATATTTATTTTAAAATTTAGCATTGCAATTTATAACTGAAAGTAGTCATTATATTACATTTTTATATAAATTATAATACATTTTATTTCTTTCTTAAACAAAAGGAAGAAATATAATTTTTTAAAAGATTTCACCTAAAATGCCAGGCAACCAATAATAAATAAAAAGAATAATAATAAAGTTCATTCAGTTTTTATTGTTTACTTCTATGAATTATATTTTTTTACACAGGATTAACTGGTGGGGTAATTTTGTGCATAAGTTAAAGCTTTTTATAAGGAATATCATTCGGTGTATTTGATAATTTTGGTTACTTTGAGTAAAGTGTAAAACATTTAGTAAAGTATGTACCGTGTCAAATGCAATTTTGTTTAATTTATGTACTTGTTTATTTAATAAACTCAAACTTGATACCAAAGCTGCAGCTTTGGTATCAAGTTTGAGTTTATCAAATAAACGTCTTATACATCTTAAATAAATTAACGATTTAAACGTCTTAAATAAACGTATTATTACGTCAACATCTTGTCAAATAATATAAAATAAGTTTTAGCAGGAAAGCAATGATGAACAGATTTATTATTGCATATTATTGTTCTTTGACTGTGTGTTGACCTGCTATGAAAAATGGATTATGTTCTGTAAGTGCTATCATTGCTATCTAGTAATGATCAGTTGCTGTTGATTGCAAAACTAAAAGATTTCGTTGTGTGTTTGTTAGATTAAAGCAGAAAAGTTGAAGACTTTAAAGTTGTTTCACAGAACAAGCATACCAGAAAAAGTATGTCAGAAAAATTTTGAGCTTCTGCAAAATAAACAAATTATTATTGCTGAAATCTATTCAGTACAGCTGAACATAATTTTGGATGCTCTAAGTCAAAAATTGCTTGCTTTGGTGAACAGAAAAAATATTGTTTTCCATCAGGGCAACGCAAGACTACACAAAGTATGAATGAGGCAGGACACTCTGGTGCCACTACAATAGTAATTTCTACCTTGCTCTCCATACTCACCAGACCCTGCCCCAAGTGACTACCACCTGTTTTTGGCCTTAGACAAGCGCTTGAAATAATTATTTGAAGATCGCTGATTAACATCGATTGGCTGATATGATAAAAATCAAAAAGTAGACAAATTATTTTCTGAACAATCAAATTTTGTACAACGATCAAACAGTGTACAGTTTAGGTGACGCCAAATTGTTTATTTCTCTGTATATCAATCCTACAATGTATTACATTTTTAGAAAATCCTACTAATTTTGTGCAATGTTTCTCCAAATATATATGTCTAAATGCTGTTCAGTACTGAAAAAAAATAATCTATTATTAGAACACTAACTCTACACTATTGCTTATTGTATGCCATGTGCACTATTACGCCATGTGCACATGTATGCCATGTGCACTATTGTTTTTTGTTTATTGTTTTCAAATTTTAAACTATGAGGGTTGAATCATAATTCTCATAACTAAACTCATAACTTATAAGTGACAATAAAATATTTTTTATAAGTCAAACAATCAATTTTTATATAATAATCCTTTTTTAAAAAAATGATACAAATAAAAAACAGTTTCAATAATGTTTTTGAGAAAACAACTATTTAAAAGATAAGTAATATTATATTTTCAAAAAAAAAAAAAATTAAATTTATGATAGAAGCATTAAATATAGAATGTTTTTGCAAATTTCTACTTTTATAAACTGTAAAACTTATGCAAAATGATTACTCAATCTGAGATTGAGGGAGTTGTCACCTATGTACGAAAATACCTTTCCTGATATTTATACATTTTCAATAAAGCTTGTTTGAAATAAACTAAATATTATTGCTTTGAATTCAATATAATAATTTTGTAAAGAAAGTTATGTTTTTTCCAGAACATTCATTACACATTAGGAGTTTTTAAATAATAAGTAACTTCAAATAAGTAAAATCAAAGAACTAGAACGCTTACTTTATTTATCTTGGTTTTATTAATCTTGTACAATTATTAATTAATTTAATGCAATCTCAAACCCATTCCTCAAAAATCTACATATATATCTACATATAGTAAATGAACAAATATTTAATTATTTGCAATGTATAGATGTTCTTTAATGCATTGGTACAATATTTTTTTTAAATACTATATTTAAACTCCATTTTTTTGTGAAACTGCTCCTCATATATATTATTTTAGAAAGTATTTGTTATTCTGCAAAAGTTCAAGAAAAAAATTAAAAAAAAAGTCTTTAAAAATTTTTTAAAATTAAAATAAAAAGATTTTGTTGTGGTTTCAACCATAATACTGTTTAAAAAAAATCAAAGGAAAATACTAAAATGCATTCACTCTTTTTAGATAATTCTATACATTTATGTTTAACATATATCTATATATTAGAAATTTATATCATAATATTGTATAATTTTTTCATTCTCAAGAAAACACTAGTCACAGTTGCAAATCTATTTGTTCTTGTAAGCAAAAAAAAAAAATATTTGTTATTAAATTACAGAATGCATTATTTCTATTTCTTCAAAAACCTATCAAACAATATAGCTTATATCTGAGTTATTTATTGATTTTAAAGTGTTTTTTCAACTTGTTTTTCAAATTGAAATTAAATTATTTAGGAATAACGCTGGATACTCTCGCTTAAAAATACAAACAATATTTTTAGTAAAGAGACAGTTAAACAGCTAACTTAATGATGGATTTTATACTGGCCAAAAGTTGGTGCTCAATAAGATCAGAGCATCAGCACATACTGCGCTGTTATTAATTATATATACTGTGAGTACCAAATACAAACAATACTGCGCTGCTGCTCTTATTAATTGAATATACTGTGAGTACCAAATACAAACAGGTACCTTCATTAAACAAAACAAAACAAAATAAAAAAAAATTAAACAATTTAAGAAAAATTTGTAAAAATGTAAAAAAAAATTAACTTTAGTAGAATTTTAAAATATTAAAAAATAAATTTATTTTGGTTGCAAAGTTTAGATTTAACAGCCACTTACCTTTATACTTTATGTTTTTATCTTTGACATATACAGTTTTGTTTGTATTAGTTTTGGCTTAAGAACTTCATTTTTCTTTTAATTAAAATTTTAAAATTATTATTTGAAAAGTAATTTAATCAATTTTTTACATAAAAAACTATTGAAATAAGAATCATTAAATTATTTATAAATATCGTCAGGGATAGTACAAATCCGTGTAACTAGCATTGGATAATACCGCGTATCTGACAAATGTAGCCAAATTTGAGATTTCGTGGGCAATTCATGCAGGATTCTAATTGGCAGCCGCTAATAATATTTTACGAAAAAAATGTATCTTTAAAAAAAATTGCCTTAATAAGTTTAATCAATTTAAAAAAAAAAAAAAAAAAAAAAAAAATTGCGTTTTTATAAAGAGTTTTCTCTTTATAAAAATCATGTTTTTATAAAGAGAAAAGTGTTTGTTTACATTTTTTTTTGTCGATTAATACTACTTTTTTTACTTATTTTTACTGTCTATATAATTGCATGACTATACCTTTTGTATAGGATTAGTTTTCCTACTTCTCTAAATTCAGTATGATGGGAGTCTACTAGTTTTGTTAATATTGCCATTTTAAATAATTTTAAATAAAATTGGAATTTTAAAAAATTTCAGTTTAAATTTCAACTTAATTATATTAATGTCATTAGCACGGTTCACATTACAATATTTAGTCATTAGTAATGACTGAATATTGTAAGGTGAACATTTTGTACGTTGGCTAGTTAATATAAATGCAATAATTACTTTAAAATATCACCAAAATATATAAATCATTGTGAATATTTTTTTCTTTTTATATATTGGTAGTGCATTTTAATTTTTTTTAGATTAGATAGATAAAGATTAAAATGACGAATAACAGCAAACTCTTGTCAAGAAGATAAAACACATCAAGTTATGACATTGAAAGATTTTAAGAAAATGATTGATACTTTACCATATTTTTTGCGGAATTTGTATGAACTGAAAACAATAGTTCACCAAGTGAATTATCAACTTTTGACTTTTCAGTAGATAATTCTGATGCTGATCCAATTAAAAATAAAATCTCTGAAATAACAAATGTTGAACAGATAGCTTTCATTCAATCAATAGACAACAATAACGATTTTTTCATGAAAGAAATTTGGAACCTGAAGTAGCAGTTGAATTTAGGGAAAGGAAACGAAAAGCAGAACAAATGTCTTCAAAAAGATTTAGGAATAAGAATTAGAGAACTGCGCGAAAACTTGGAGAGGCTTGTAAGTCAAACAAATGCTTACAAAGTAATGTGATTAACTGCCAAAAGTTTAAAGAAAGTGTAAGATTAGATATTTTGAAAAAAATTTTGGAAGATGAGCTGGATAGCCAAGAAATTTTTTGTTTCATCATTAGTTGATAAAAAATTGACTAAAAAAAAAACTAATGAAAGGGCTAATACAAGGCGAAGTATTATAAAAGTCTATTATTTAAAATTAAACAACAACAAAATGTTTTAAGACGTTTTTAGGAACACTGGGTATTAAAGAGTTGACAGTTAGGTACTGGCTAGGAGAAAAATCTAATAGTGATACAACAACAAAATGTAATAATAACGCATGGCCTTGCCATTCATTGAAAGAGTTGGTACAAATCTTTTCAAGAATTATGCCTAAATTGCCTTCTCACTACCTAAGGAAAGTAAAAAATTGTATCTAGAACTTGTAATACAGTCTAAACATGAACTCTATCGTATCTATGTTAAAAATGCTACAAAAAATGGACAGAGAGTGGCTTCCAGAAAACTATTTGAAGACATTTTGAAATATGAAAACATAGCTATGTTTCAACCAAAGAAAGATGCATGTGATCTATGTTGTTCATATAAAACAGGAAATATTACAGAGCAAGAGTATAAACAACATGTATCACGGAAAGATTTAGCTAGACAGGAAAAAGCTTTAGACAAAATAGCTGCAAAAAATGGAACAATTCACATTATCACTGTTGATTTACAAGCAGTGAAATTAAAAGTGTATTTTAAAACAAAACTGATGGTTCAAAATTTTTACAATATACAATTTTGGAACTAATAAAGTAAAGTGTTATTGGTTTGATGAAACAACAACTGATTTAAAGGCATCAACTACTGCGTCATTTTTTGTTGATTATTTAAATAAAATAATTGATGAATTTAAAAAAGATGTCATAATTTAAACTGATGGATGTATATCAAAAAATAGAAATGCCATTGTTTCGAACGCACTTCTGAAATTGGTAATGCAAAAAAAAGTAGTCATCACACAAAAATTTTTAGAAAAAGGGCCATACTCAAATGGAGGTAAATTCAGTTCATTCCATACTAGAAAGTTAAAACACCGTGAAATATTTTTACTTAGTCAACACTCTTAAGTTACCAAAGAAGCTAGACAGAATCTATCTCCATATGAGGTAGCAATGGTAAACCATACATTTTTTGAAGATGATAGTATTAAAAGCTACCTTACTTATGATACAATCCGTCCTAGAAGAGGTACTGGAGCAAAATATGTGGTTGATATCAGAGTTCTAAAATACTATCCCAATAGTACAATAGATTTCAAACTAAGTTACAATGAACAAATTAAACAATTACCACAAAGACCAAAAAGAGTTCAACCAGTGATTCCACCACAACTCTTTACTGAAAGATTGCCAATCTCAAAGTCAAAATATGAACATTTACAACAGTTAAAAAGTGTTATACCCAACAATTGCCATGAGTTTTATGACAACTTACCTTACCAAAATGATTAATTTTCTTTTATTTTGTTAAACTATAACTGCAATGACAGCTATTATTTTTTGACTAGTTGAAACAGTTCTTATACTTTTTTGATGTTTTTTTAAAATTTTAATACTAATGAGTAACATTTTTCTTAATTTATAATCAAAAAGATTTATTCATGAACTCATAAAGATATATTTTTGTTAGATAGCTGAAGATGCTCTTTTATTGTTACAAGTTTATTTCGTGATATTATTTCTAAAACCTGCTCTATTGTTTCTAATAAGGCAATTGAAAAGACTGTACAGGCTGAGTTAAAGGTAAGATTGAAGCAAACTGTTATTGAAATGTTGCTGTACTATCAATATTTATATTTTGAAGAAATTTCAGAACATTTATTTATATTTTTTTCTTTTTTAATTAAGCTTATAAGATATAAGGCTTTAAACAGATATTAAAATTCATGTTATCGTTTGATTATCATGTATTAGTAATTAGTAATATTACTAGTTTGATTTCGATACCGCATAACTTACTATATGGGGTACAATTATGGCAAGTTTGTGGTTAAATCAAATCCACGTAAGTGTTCTAGCAACTAAATTATTAACTATAACACCTAATAGCTATTATTGACATTACAAAGAACATTAATAAAACTCTTTATGCCAAAATGAGCTCAAAATCTGTTTAGATAAAAAAAATATACAGTTTTAACCTCCTGAAAAACTATTTGCAATGCAGATACGCTCTCCCTACCTGTAGTAGATCTGCGGATTAGCACTATTCCTGACAATATGTAATTTTCAAATTAAAAAAAAACTCTTAATTTTACATTGGATACTTTATTTAAATTTTCAGTAATAATGAATTAAAGTTTAAACATGATATTAAAATAATGTCACAACTTTTAAAAAGAATATTTAAAAAAGTACTCAAAATATTTTATTTTTAAATATCAAAAAATAACAAAAAATAAAAATAATAAAAAAAAGTTTTTATATATTTGAGAAAAAAATATTAGTTTTTCTTTGTTTTTATATATTTCATAGTTTTTAACTATCATTTAATCATTATAATTTTTATTTTATTATTTTATTACATAATTTTAATTTTTTTTACTATTATTTTTTATTATATGGCTTATGTTTTATTATACTTCTTATTTACTCTTTATTTTAAACACTATAAGGTTCACATCGGTGTACATGTAGTTTTATATACATGACATATGTAAGTATATTCACTAACGTACATGAAATATGTGAGTACATTCACAGAGTCTTGCTAATAGTTGCAGCAGTTTTAAGAAATATATTTCTTGTTTTAAAAAATAAGTTCCTCAACTAAGGACAATGATTTTACAATTTTGCTGAGTAGCTACAAAACATAAAATATAAAATTTGTTAAATATTGTAGATAGGTCCCATTCCTGCTTACAACACACTTGCAATACTAATTTTCTAGCACACAGTATTGGGTAATAAAGGTGATATAATAATGAAGTAAAAGGTGCATAAATTATAAAAAAAGAGCGACACTGTTTAAAATCAGCAGAGTATTATAAAATGCAATAATCAATTAAAAAAAAAAATCGTCTTATTTTACCAGAAAAGTTACTTAAACAACATACTTTTATCACTCATTTGTTAGACGATATGAAATACATGCACAACTTAACAATTTGATACTTATAACCAAACCAATCTTTTTTTTTTCCAGTTTATTGCTGACTTGTTCAAAAACAAAGGGATGCAAAAAATTTTATTTAAAAAAACACATTAAGATGCACAAGAAAGTGTAAAGGAATTTTCTGAAAACAAAAATGCACTGAGTTTGTCCTGGAAATATTAGACCATCACCATATGTCATCACCATATGATATCACCATATGATGTTCTTCTGTTGTTGTTCTTTTTACAGCATTAATATTATTGATTTAAAATTAAATAAAGCTTTTTCAGCACATAAGTGATTTTGATATTTGTTATTTATAAAACTTTTTTTACCACATTAGCAATTAATTGAAACTTAAAATCTTTAAATTCAAAAAAAATAAAATCTTAAACACACACAAAAAAAAAAAAAAATTTCATGCAAATTTTCAATTTGTGTATTTAAGATTTTATTCAATTAGTCAACAAACATAATACATCCAATAATAAGTATTAATATGTACCATAAAATATATCTTCGGGACAAGCAAAAGGTGTCTGAAAAGTCATTTCATATCTACACATAGATGGCTCCTTAACATGTAATATGCTGTTTACTTCTCCACATGTGATGTTAACCTGTTAACTATACTTAATTTTATAAAATTGTAAGCATATTACAATTTTTAAATTTATTCAAAACTTCTTAGAAAAAATACTAACTTTTTTAATGGAAAAAACTTACCAACTTGTTTACCAAAATACAAACTTATTTACAAAATACCAACCTATTTATCAAAATACCAACCTATTTATCAAAATACCAGTATCAAAATCAGAGGTGTGGTGGCTGTAAAAAGCCCATGTGGGATTTTATAAAAAAAGCCTATATATGTGGGACTTTTCCATATATGATGGATGAAAAATCCCAGGCACTTGTCTGGTAAAAGATATATATATGTCATTTTGACTGACCCATATTTTGGGTGCATTTATTTTATAATTATTTTAGTTTTTTCAAAATTTCAGTAGTGTATATAAACTTCATTTTTTATACAAAACAGAAAATGAAGCTACATTAATAAAATACATCATTTTTTTTAGTTAATTCATTTTTTAAAAGACACCAAAGCATAAATTTTTTTTTGAATTAATAGCTCGGTTTTTATCATTTATATTAAAACGTTACAATTAATTTTTATATTAAATTTATATTTCAGTATTTGTTTTATTTTTTGTCTGATGGTTTTCGTAAATTTTAATCGAATATTTTAGCACTTAAACAAAAAAACAGTCTATAAATAAACTGCAGATAGAATAAAAAACAAGAAATATGAGATAGGTAATTTGAAGCTAACACTTGAATTTAATAAAAAATACATTATATATTTTTATAATATAACAGTTTTTTTTTTTGGTTTTGTTTATGCGACACAATGATCGCAAAAAGTGACCAACGGAGCCATCCAGTTTCTTACACCTGAGTGATAATAAAAAAAGTTTAAAGATGGTGTCATTGAATAAAAAATAAAAATCATAAGAAAATATAAAATGAGTGATAAGACTTTTGTGAAGGTGAAGAACGAAGTTAAATGCTCGGGGGCAGGGGGAGAAACAACTAACACTCTAGTCACTCTGTGTGTAGATCATATGTAATAAAGAACAAATATTTGATATACTGATTTTGGAACATGCAGATTCATTTACGTGTGAGCTGTAGGGAAACCACTGTTTATCAATTAATTTAATAATGTTCCAAGACCATATGTCTTTCTTTTATATTTTGTGAACTTTGTTGGTTGAGGTAACCAATAATAGTTTGATTGTTTTTTAAAAGCATACAGGTCATTAACTATTGTTTATGTTATTACACTATTAAACTTGAGTTATGTTACATAACAGTTGTTTTTCCACTATTAAAAGTGTTTACAAAAGTAATCAAAGAAAAAGTTAAAAAAGATTTATCGAAAAATACATATTTATATAAATGTAATTAAGTATAATATTCTTTGATAATATAAATAAAATAGGTTTATTGTAAACAACTATTAGAATTAATTTGTTACTTAATTTATACTTTTTAGAATATTATGCGTAGTTACTTTTATATAAGTATGTCATACTTATATAAAAGTAATTAAATATAATATTCTTTGATAATTTAAATAAAAAGGGTTTATTGTAAACAACCATTAAAATTAGTTTGTTACTTTATTTAATAAAGTAATAAACATAAGTATTTATGTATTTAATATATTAATAATAATTTACAAAGCATTTTGCAATAATTTACAAAACATTTCATTTATTTTTTAAAAAAAAGTAGTATATTGCCTTTTTCAATTTTAGTTTTTAAATATATTTTCCTTTTCCAATTTTCCAAATACAACTTTGCTGCAAAGTTATTGTAACCAAATACGATTTTTATTTTATTGTTTGTAGAATAGCTATTAAAATAAAATCAAAAATTTAAAATTTTAGTTTTATTATGAAACATAATATAAATTGTATTAAATAATAAATTAATTTTTTTTTGTTTGTTTGTTAAGTAATGAGAAATTATTTTTATAGATAGTTTACGCTTTTGTTAAATTCTGCATTATAACTAGCATTTTTGCAAAGCATTAACACACCAAACCGTCCCTCCTAATACCTCCTAACCACCTCTAATACCTTAAATATAAAAAGTTTTACTTAGTAGTTAATTAAGAAGTGTTTCATATTTTACTGAAAAAGTTATTTAGTTGCTTCTTATTTTAAAAATAGATTTTTTTCAGAATGTCAAAAAAAGTAAAAGTTGTTAAAAGGCCCAAACTTGGATTAAAAAGTCGTAAAAGACCCATATTTAAATAAAAAAGTGTAAAACCCATGCGGGAACTCCACATAGCCTCTAGGGCCACCACACCCCTGATCAAAATACCAGTGTATTTATCAAAAAACTGGTGCATATACCGAAAAAACCTTATTTACCAAAATAAAAACTTATTTACTAAAAAAACAAATTAACCACCAAACTGATTTTACTCTATAAATTATTTTTTAATTCATTAAACAAAATAATGAATAATTAAATGTAAAATATAATATATTAAACTTCATAATATAAACAATTCATTGCAAGGATTGAATCTCTACAGAAAAAGATTCAAAAACAATTCACAAGCCAGAGAAAAAAACAAAATTTTGAAATATCTTTAAAGGGATCTCCAACTGTCGAAACAAGTTGTGTTCATATTAAAGAAAATGTTAAAAAAATACATTTTGGCTAAATTTTTATTATTGAAACTAAATAATGAATGCATACCAACAAAATTAAAATTGCTTTAGTTGAAGCTTGCCTTCTCCATTTTTTTTTGATTCTCGGGGTCTATATAATGTTAGCCGCAATCTGCAGACTTGATAATTTATTCCATGCGTGTAAATTCATAACAGTTTTGGTATATGATGTCATCACAATATCTTTTTAAGATAACGTTTTTTTGTTGTTGTTTTTTAAAGATATAAGTATTTTTTCTACTACAATCAGAAAACCAAATATTTGTATAATTTTTTACTAAATCACAAAACATATTTGTGATTTAGTAAAAAATTATACAAATATATATATATTTTTTATATTTATACTTTATTTTTTACTAGCTTTACTATTACTTTGTTTTAGAAGCCAGCCAAAATCATGACACATACATATTTTGTGATTATTAGAGTTCGCAGGCAGTATGATGCGGTTTCTTGTTTTACATTTAGTTCATATGGTTTAATAGTTGTTCGTTTTGTTTAATTTACATTTAGTTATGGTTTAACTCTTTCACTACCGCAAGCCTATGGTAGTGGCTTTCAAGTATGCTTTACAATTTATCTTGTTTTGTACAAAAATTTCCATTCTAGACACGTATAATTTGTTTGTTCTAAAGGTTTAATTAATTCTACACAATCAAGAAAAAATAAGAGTTATATTATGTAACTATAAAAAAGTAACTATCACAAAGTTAAAAAATCTTGAATAATCGTTCATAAAAAAACTTCTTTAAATTTATTTATAAAATAAAACAGTAAAACTTAACTTGTAGAAGTGTTAAGTATTTAGTTAAGTAATTATCATAGATTTTGAAGAAAAAATATTCTTTTTATTCATTAAACGAGGTTTTTTTCGGACTTAATGATTTAGTTACTACTTATAAAAACAATGGTTTTATGCACTTTGCATTTCTTATTGTTTAATGATGCGTGTTAAAAACTTTATTACTATCGAATTTAAATTAATTGTCAATGTTATGCTATTCAAATGTTATTCAAAAAATGTGCGGTTGCTACAAAATGATTTTTGTTCAGCTGGTCGCGAACAAATTAATGTGATTCTTCGTTTTTATATTTATATTATAACTATTTTTTGTATAATTTAGTACAAATATTTGTTTTAACTTTAATTTAGTTTGATTTGAACGATTATTAGTAAAATAATTTGTTTAATATTTATTTTCTACTTAGTTCAGTTTATATTTTTTATTCAAGTCACTCGTTTCTTATTCAGTTTATACTTTAAATTAATGAATGCTCCTTAGTAAAATTATTCTTTTAGTTTATATTTAGTTTAAACCAGTATGTTTTACTGTAAATATTCGTCATATATTAAATTTTTATTTTTATAAATTTTATAGATTTAATTTTTAATTGCATCATAAACTTTTGTTCGGGTTTTAATAAAAAGTTATACAATTAACATGATTTGGTGAATGTGGCAAAAAAATAATATGACATCTTTATACCATGACATCATATACCGAAACTGTTATGAATTAAACACGGATGGAATAAACTATCAAGCCTGTAGATTGCTGCTAACATTATACAGACTCTGAGAACCAAAATAGAGACGGCAAGCTTCATCTAAAACGTGAATTTTAAATTTAATGGTGTGCATTCATTATATAGTTTTAATCAAAAAACTTTAGCCCAAATGTTTTTTTTTAAACATTTTTAAAAATATGAACACAACTTGTCTCGGCAGTTGGGGATCCCTTTTAGAATGATAAATAATAATAAATACATAAATACAATACTTAAAAGAAATAAGAACTTAAAAGAAACAATTTGAATTTTTTCCTAATAAAATTAAAAAAAAAAGAAACCTTAATTTCTCTGTCTAGTGAACCTGCACACATATCTCCATGAACCATATGCATATATTTGAATGTGTTATTTTCTATATTCCATTCTTTCCAAACACTAGAATCAAATCCCATATATACTGTATATATGTGTAAAAATTGTAATATATATATATATATATATATATATATATATATATATATATATATATATATATATATATATATATATATATATATATATATATATATATATATATATATATATATATATATATTTTGGGAATAGCTATGTTGCTTGAACAAAAAATGAATTTTAAAAGTTATAAATGCGTTATAAAAATTAGTGACTAGAGCATTATTACTTCTGTAATCGTAAGTTTATTGTTTTATTTTTTATTTTTTTGCTAACAAATTTAAGTTGATTCTCCCTTTAAAAACAAGGAACATGGTTTTGTATAAGCTAAAATTTTGAATACTAGATATTTTTCCAGATTTTGCGTTTCGCATTCGCTTAATTCAACCCTTGTTGTTACATTAAAATTATACAAATAAATTTTACAAACACATTGCAATTTGTATTTTCGCTATCCTCTTAAAAAAAAAAGTTAAGAAAAGGAAAATCATTCTTTTTATTTGTAGACTTCAAACTTTTTTTTTTTTTTTGCTTCGCCTAATCTAATTTTGTTGCTGAATGTAACAACCACTCTAAAGAAACAAAAATAAAAACATTTTTATGTGTATTTCATTTTAGGTCTTATCAAAGTATTCAAAGAGGTTTTAAAAAAAACTAAACTGGTCATCATAAGTAATTTTATTCAAACTTTTATAGTAAATTCTCAAACTAACAAATAAATTAATAAAATAATTATGAAAACAGTTAGGTTAACAAGAACGCAGAACAGAAATCAATTAAAAAGTTCTTTCTTTTTACAATCTTTCCGGTATGTTTTCCGTATTTCTTTGAAAAAAGTAAATCATTAAAAAAAGTAACTAAATATGAACTTGTAATTGACATGTTAGTTATAGAAAAAAAATTTTCCTGTCATTCAAAAAAAAAAAAAAAAAATAGAATTAAAAAGTCTTTTGGAAATATGGATGGGTTTTAAATAAGTTAAAGAAGAAAATTAACTCAATATATATATATATATATATATATATATATATATATATATATATATATATATATATATATATATATATTTATATATATATATATATATATATATATATATATATATATATATATATATATATATATATATATATATATATATATATATATATATATATATATATATATATATATATATATATATATATATACAGTATCGGACATAACAAGTGCAACCAAATAATGCTAATTTAGTTTTTTTTATATATAAATGCATTTTTTCAATTTAGAGAAATAACTATGTAACTGTTTAGAGACAACTTTCTTCAAGTTTGATTCATCACAAAGTTCCACGAAAATTAATAAATTAATCAAAAGTATTAAATAGAGTTGATTTTCTTCTGGACAAAACAAGTGCTATTCCACAAAAAATTGACCAAGCTGTATTTTGCTATCAATATTTTGTGGTAAATCCTTTGTTGTCGATCACAGCCTTGCATCTTCGAGGCATAGATTTGATCAGGTGATCAATGAAACTTTGTGGAATCGCTGCCCAGGCCTTTTGGATTTGTTCAAACAGTTGATCCTTATTACGATCACTTTCACAATTAATTCTGCAGTTGAGGATCTCCCACAGGTTCTCAATAGAGTTGAAATCCGGACATTGAGGCGGCCAATCGATCACTGATAAGTGGTTGTCTTGAAACCACTGCTTGACTACTTTTGCAGTGTGTTTCGGATCGTTGTCTTGCTGAAAAACCCATTTTATTGGCATATTCCATTAAGCATGAGGTAACATAACATCTTTCAGGATATTTTTATATATGAAACGGTCCATTGATTTGATGAACCAACGGTTCATTGATTTGATGAACCAAACGGTCCATTGATTTGATGAACCAACGGTTCCATTGATTTGATGTATTGGACCTAGACCGTTAGCAGAAAAACACCCCTAGACCATTACATTGCCTCCACCATGCTTCACGGTCTTATGGCAGTGACGTAAATCGAGGCATTTTCCGGCTGGTCGACGTACACGGCAAATGCTATCGCTCCCAATGTTAGACTTTGACTCATCACTGAACAGGACATTTTGCCATTTCTGCACATTCCAGTCAATATGAGATGTAGCAAACAGGAGTCTTTTCTTCTGGTTCTTTAGTGAAATCAGCGGTTTCGTTGTAGGGTGTGAGAAAACAATCCAGCTTCAACAGCACGTCGTCTGATTGTTCGGCTCGATTCAGGCAGCACTAATAATCTTAACTGATGATATCCAGGGATCCATTTTGACGGATCTGACGATCATAAAATCCTCTCTAGAAGTGGTGGAGCGCGGTCTTCCACCTTTGATATCTGCTGCCAACTTCCCCGTAGAACGATATTTGGAACATAGTCTTGATACGGTCCATTTTTTCAGGCAATATTTATCACAAATACTTTTTTGTGACTTTTTTGTTCCAATCCAAGACTGTTAGGAGCCATTTTTGCACTTGACAACATAAAAATAATAAAAATAAATAACCACACTTTTCAAGGCTTACTGTGTTACATTTACCTTGTGATGATGCAATAATGCTCTGTGGAACACAACATCTTGGTTGGATGTGGACTGTATTGATGCAATGAAACACTTGTTGTATTTCACTTCTTGTATTAATGTTCTTCGATAAAACACTTTGATAAAACTCACTTCGATAAACTGTCTTGATAATACTGACTGATTGACTTCCATATACTGACTGAATTACATGTCGATTTACATGTCTCTTATATAGTAAAATGAACCTGTGTGAACCTGTTCTGAAAGATCAGAACAGGTTCTGATCTTTCAGAACCTGTTCTGAAAGATCAGGTTCAAATGCTTCTTTTTGATGCTTCTGGAAACTTCGGAATGCGTTTGGATGCTTCTGAATGTTTTTGGATATTTCTGGATGCTTCCAGATGCTTCTTCTGGAAACTTCTGGTAAATTCTTGATACTTTCTTTAATTATTAAAAAACTTCTGTGACGTTGACACGGACCAGGCTTAAGATAATGAAACAAACCAAAAAAGTTGCACTTGTTTTGTCTGCTGCAAAATGGCACTTGTCAACGAAATTCTGCCATATATATATATATATATATATATATATATATATATATATATATATATATATATATATATATATATATATATATATATATATATATATATATATATATATACACATATATATATATACATATATATATATATACATATATATATATACATATATATATATACATATATATATATATATATATATATATATATATATATATATATATATATATATATATTTAATATATTTATTAAAATATGAAAAAAATGACTTCGGCAATTGTGAAATGATAGGACAATTATTTACAGAAATATAACCATATTTAAACCAAGCACTAACCCTAACATTAAACTTAATCCTGACCCTAACCAAACTTTCATTAGCCCATCCCTTTTTGACCTTATTAAAAAATTTTAATACGCAGAGTTTCATAAAAAATTCTCAAGGTATTGTTTTCATAATGAAATTTTAAAATTATTTTGGCAACTATTTATATTTGCGCCACTCTTTTTAAATTTAATATTTTTACTTTTTTTTCAATTTTTAAGAGCATTTTCAAACAATTGGCGCAAATAGAAATCATTAACTATATAACGACGTCACTACAAATAATGGAAGGTTTTTTATCTACCAATTGTGAACATATTTATTACGATTATTTTTGTTAATTGATTATAATTTAAAAACGCACAAATTTGTTATGAAATGAAAAAAACATGCTTTTGATCTCATACATTTTACCCACTTTAAGCCCTGGCTATAGCCATAGCTGTAAATAAAACTGTTAAGCCAGATAATAAACTATTGATATCATAAAATTATAAAAGGTTAAAAAATAGTTAGATAAAACCACTTAACTTTAAAAAACCTTTTTGAAAAAACAAAATGTAAAAGTTTCTAATTTTAAAATTATTTACATTTAGACTTTTGAGAAGCGCAAAGATTATTGGGAGCTTGCGGAAAAAAAAATCAGACTATTAGGTGAAAATTAAAATACATGGAGTTGTTTTATAAGACCTGAATTTCATGAAATTTAAGTTGCATTTCTCTAAAATCAGCCAGGTTTTTATTCTAAGAAAAAAAATTCTCAAAGAGATCCATAGAATTGGTGACTACATTTCTCTCTCCAGGGCATCGCAGTTTTTGACATGCGACTTTTCTTATTCTGCAATATTATGTCATAAAGTAATAAATTGTTTAAAAACAATGGTTTGCAAAATGGTATAAAATCAGATGAAAATACAATTGTTTTTTCCAATGACAGACTTTTCATAAAATCAGTAGAAATATAATAAAAATGAAATCAATAGAAATAACACTTTGATTTTATCTTGTCAAAATTAAATGTAATTAGTTTTTAGCAGTGTCATTTTAAACCTTATTTTATCTACATTGCATTATTTTTAACTTACACTTTTAAGATCAACAAGACTATCGGCAGATGTATTTTGAGCCTGCTGCAGAGGTGAAATTCAAATTATGGTAAAACCAAAGTGGTGTTTGGTGCTGGCGTTAGTATCTTTTGACCGAGATCACAATATAAAAATGGTAAAAAGTTTTGAATTTAAAAACAAAGACAGGTCCGAAAAGAAAAATACTTCTGAAAGCAGATTTTGTTGATAAAGACCAGCCACTAGGTCTTGAGTTGTACATTTCACCAGACTACTGGTCACCAGACTACTGGGTATTTCTCGAGATTCTAGGTCATAGTTCGAAAAAATTCCTAAGGATGAGATTCTCTCTTTGGATACAATAAATTCCAAAACTTTTCAAAGTTGCTAACAACTCATCAGAACATACAGTAAAATCATAAATCTATAGACCATAGTTTAAGAAACTTATTTCTCAAAACAAGAAATACATTTCTTATTTTTAAAAATGAATTGCAGGGTAGGATATTTATTTCCTCAAACAAGTAGCGTATTTTTTGTCTTAAGAAAAATATTTTGTAATAAAAAACTCAATATTGCTGCGCTTATAGTAAAATTTATTGAAGATAATGAAGAGGGTGTGAGCGAAGAGAAGCTTCAGAATCTATTTCAAATAAAGAGTTCTTGTAAAAAACTATTTAAAAAGAAGAAGAGTGGATTCAAGGAACTAGCTATGGCGACAGCTTTCTCACTTTCTTGTTATTGAATAATTTTAATAATTGCGGTAACGGTGTAGTGGTAAAACGCTCACTTCATAAGCCAGAGGTTCTGATTTAGATCCCCACCACGTCCCTGGTAGTACTGCGCTCAACTTGTTTCTCCGCGCAGCGGCCTTGTTTGTCAGGGTTCGTGTTTTGGATTTATAGAGTTGAGAGAGGGTTATAACCACTATTAAGTAGCCTCCTCATCTGTAGTGGCCTTCTCGGCTTGAGGAGATGAATAACAACAACAACAACAACAAAAAAATTGAATTTTGATCCGATACTTAACTGCTAACTCTGAACCTTAAAAGTACATTTAAAATAATTTTTTTACATATTTTATTGAGATTTTGTCTTCAGCTGAAAATTTATAAGTATATAAATATATATTGTACTTTTGCAGCATTTAAACGCTGAATTCTGTAGCAAATTTGCTTCAGAAACAAGAGATCTGTGGCAGTCACGGATCCAGCATTTTCTGGTGTTTGAGATTACATGGAGCAAAACCCAAACATTTGTATGTTTATACTTATGTAAAATAATGATGTTTTTTAAAAAGTTGCAATGATTGGAGGGTGGGAACAAAAAAAGCCTAATATTTTAGGCCCTGTGCCCCAAACATGAGAAAAACAAGTTAATGAAAATTTTTTTTTGCTATTCTTAACTAAATTTATATTCATTGATAAATTTTAAATATTGTTTTACAACCTCAAAGCGTTCAAAAATTATGACCATATAAAATTTGTAACTCTCTCAAATTGAGGGGGGTTTAAACTTTATATGGTCATAGTTTATGAACGTTGAGAGATAATACTATGAAATTTAAAATTTATCCATGAATATAAACTTAATTAAGAATAGAAAAAAAAAATTATTATTTTAGCAACTTTTTGCTTTCACATTTGGGGCAGGGGGAAAAAAATTTAAGAGCTTTTTTAGTTCTTAGTCTCCAAACATTGCAATATTTTCCAAAGCATCATTATTTGACATAAGTATAAACATACAAATGTTTGGAGTTTGCACCTTGTCTGTTTGCTATCTCAAACACTATAAAATGCTTGATTTTTTACTGATCTGTGGTTCAATGCCTACTCTAAGCTTTTTTTAGACATAAATTAAGCATAAACTTTCAAGTTAAATACTCTTCTGTTGTGCTCTGTGATGCAACCCTTAGGTCTTTTTGGAAGACCGAAAATAACCACAGAAAAAATGTGTAAATATACTTTTGAATCACATTGATATGTTTTAATCTAGTTTACCATTTTGGATTTAGATTTATTTGATTCAAGGCTCATATATATATTTAAAAAAAAAGCATCATTTGATACCAAAATGAGGTAAAAATCATGTTTGTGGTATGACTGGAAAGAAGCTCAAAGATCAACAAAAAATCACTTTACAACAGCCAAAGTGTTATTTTATCCATCGTAATCAGTAAAAGATAAGTACATCAAATTTTTAAACTAATAAGAACAGCGTTTTTTTTGGTACTGGAACGCATTACGAAAATACTATTGAACAAATTAACTGAATTTGACATCAGAATCTATTCGCACCAATGCTCTAAATTTAGTCAAAAATCATAAAAAACATAACTTCGAACAATCGGCGAGAATACTGCTATCAAGAAAAAATAAGAATTAAAAAATTTTTCATATAAATATGACCTCTACACCACTGATTAGTCACTCCGCATAATAATTGGTTGTTGAATATATATATATATATATATATATATATATATATATATATTTATATATATATATATATATATATATATATATATATATATATATATATATATATATATATATATATATATATATATATATATATATATATATATATATATATATATATATATATATATATGGAGCTAATAGATAGAAAAAATATCAAACTATAATGTTGTGCACTTGTAAGTGCACAACATTATAGTTTGATATTTTTCTCATATACTTGATACATAGTTACACTTCTCATATACTTGATACATAGTTACACTTCTCATATACTTGATACATAGTTACACTTCTCATATACTTGATACATAGTTACACTTCTCATATACTTGATACATAGTTACACTTCTCATATACTTGATACATAGTTACACTTCTCATATACTTGATACATAGTTACACTTCTCATATACTTGATACATAGTTACACTTCTCATATACTTGATACATAGTTACACTTCTCATATACTTGATACATAGTTACACTTCTCATATACTTGATACATAGTTACACTTCTCATATACTTGATACATAGTTACACTTCTCATATACTTGATACATAGTTACACTTCTCATATACTTGATACATAGTTACACTTCTCATATACTTGATACATAGTTACACTTCTCATATACTTGATACATAGTTACACTTCTCATATACTTGATACATAGTTACACTTCTCATATACTTGATACATAGTTACACTTCTCATATACTTGATACATAGTTACACTTCTCATATACTTGATACATAGTTACACTTCTCATATACTTGATACATAGTTACACTTCTCATATACTTGATACATAGTTACACTTCTCATATACTTGATACATAGTTTCACTTCTCATATACTTGATACATAGTTACACTTCTCATATACTTGATACATAGTTACACTTCTCATATACTTGATACATAGTTACACTTCTCATATACTTGATACATAGTTACACTTCTCATATACTTGATACATAGTTACACTTCTCATATACTTGATACATAGTTACACTTCTCATATACTTGATACATAGTTACACTTCTCATATACTTGATACATAGTTACACTTCTCATATACTTGATACATAGTTACACTTCTCATATACTTGATACATAGTTACACTTCTCATATACTTGATACATAGTTACACTTCTCATATACTTGATACATAGTTACACTTCTCATATACTTGATACATAGTTACACTTCTCATATACTTGATACATAGTTACACTTCTCATATACTTGATACATAGTTACACTTCTCATATACTTGATACATAGTTACACTTCTCATATACTTGATACATAGTTACACTTCTCATATACTTGATACATAGTTAGGTTTACATGAAGTTAGGTTTTTTATTTATAAAAAATGGTTGTTATGTTATTTTCAAGTTGACAAAAATAAAATCACTTAAATCAATAGCTCAATTAATTAAATGCAGAAAGTAATTAAATTTTGATGACTTGAATCAACTTTTTAAATTAAATTAATAATATTTTTGTTTTTTACTGTTTTATACTACTTTATAATTCAATTTTATTTGTTTTATTATATTCTTCATTTATTGTCTGATTAATGATGGTAAATTTGCATGTATGTCAAATTATAGGAAAAAGCACCAAAATAATTTTAGCAGCAAAATTGCCTGTAAGTAGTATTTTTTCCTAGAAAATTACGTAGCTGAGCAGCAAATTTCCCTGGGAAATAATGCAGCAGCATTAAAAAAATCTTCCATATTTTAAAATATTTGACCATTCCTGGTCATCAAACAAAATCATATGAAATCCAAACTTTGGTCATATTTTGACTTTATTTATCGATTAGATATACACCAAATTTATATTTCTTAAATGAAAAAACATTAAGTGGGGACCCAAAAACTATAGAAAAAACTTTTTTTTGTACAGAACTTATTTTTGTATAAATAATCAAATGTACAAAACTAGTTCAATTAAAAAAAAAATTCAATAAAAAATTAAAAAAAAAAAAAGTGTTACTTTTCCTTAATAATATTAAAATTAAAATAATTACCCAAGAACACCACGAAACGCATTCCATTTGTAACTTTGTTCACGCTGTGTAACATTTGCAAATGGACAAAACTCGTATTTATAACTAAAGTAATAAAATAAAATTTTTACTTGTTTTTTTTTTTTAGTAAAGACAAAAAAATTTAATTTATTGTAATTAAAACTATGCGTAATTAAAAACTAATAAAATCTTGATTTTATAAACTTTATAACTTTATATATTTATTGATGATATAAATTTTACAATATTTCAAAGTAATATCAATAACGCTCAGGTTATAGTGTATTATATATATTTTTAAACAAAAAAAAAAAAAAAAAAAAAGGCTGCAAGACAGGAGAGAACTGCAAAGCTCCAATGTTTGCAAAAAAAAAAAATTAGTTGAATAACTCTTTTTTGGGGAGGGAGGGGAGGGGTTAGTGTGTGTGTGTAGGGTTGGGAGGGGGGAGGGCTGGGGAAGTGGGCCGGGTGATTCATTTATTTTAATGCACTAATTACTATACATTAAAATTATACATATTTGAAAAAAAAAAATTTTAGATTACATAGAAATTTTAGATTCTATAAATATTTTAACAATATCTTGTTTGCATCTAGTTTTTTTCTGTGAGCATCAGTGCTATGGAGTTCTCCTTTCAAAGTCTTCTGTAAACAGTTTTCTTACTCTCTAACTATCTTCTTTATAAATTTTTAATGACATCTTTATTTAATGATACATAATTTTAGCTTCTTTTATGGAATATTTAATTCTTATTATTCAACAGTTTTTTTTACAATAATTTAAAGGAGTATAGATACCCTTGTTATAAAGTTAATATATAAAAAACCATTGCAAACAAATCACAGTAATAGTTTTTAATGCACATATCAAAAGATTTGTTTCAAAGTCATGATGTAGACTCCATTATTTTGATATAGACCAAACTTAAGAGCACAAATTAATGCAGGCCATGTTACACAGTAAGCCATATAGATCACCAGGTTCAAACTCTCACCAACTCTTTTTTTTTTTTTTCAAGAAAATATTGTTTATATCAATGTTTTTTAAGTGCAAAATAAATCTGAAGTCACAATCAGGAGAGTTAGGCAATTAATTTTAAAAATTATAAAAGAATAAAATCCACTAATGAAATCCATGGAAAAAATGTTAGAGAATAAAACAAGGAGCATTGTTTATGGTTGAATTAAAAGAGCAGTTTGTTTGGAAAAAAAAAAAGTAAATTCTCCAAAGTCATTATCAAAAATTGATCAAATTGATAAAAAACATCTTATTTGCTGGAGAAAGAATCAAGCATTAATCTGTCAAACTGGATTTATTCAAATTCAATAAGTAATACAGAAATAATTTTAAAAAATAAATTTTTTATGAAGATTTATTTTTGAATTAGGTTGAGAGGCCAAGAATTAGGCATAGTACGGAGCTTAGTGATATTATTCAATCATCTTATGTTAAAACACAAGCTGTAGAATCTCCAAAGGATAACACGAGCAGTAGTTGCTATACTCTCCTTGCAAGAGGTTTATGATTAAATATTAAATTACTTGGTAAGTAAATTAAAAGTTGTCAAATATTCATTTATAAATTTCAATAAAAAAATACTTTTAAAGTATTTTAACTTATTAGTTGATTTTATCCCTCAGGTTATCATAACAATTGCTCTATTCAGACTGTTTTGAACATCCTCAGGTTGTCATAACAACTGCTCTAGTCAGAATGTTTTGAACATAATTTGTCAGAAAAACTTGATCCCACATCATGTGAGTAAGTTGCTTTAGGCATAATTAAAAACAAGATGGAGCAAGAAAGCATTGATAGAGGGCAGCCCTTTTAAATATCTACAGGTATATAAGTTTTTAATGTCATTATATATTTTCATAGAAGTTTTAATTAACAAAACATAATTAATAAGCATTATTATTCATAATAAACTCATTAAAATTAATAAGTTTAATACGCTAAATTAATAAGCATAAATAAGCATTACCATGATTAAGCAATCATTTTGATTGCTAACAACTTTTTTAAACATTTGAATTGTAAATTTAAGTTAAGAGTAAAAATAATAAAATATAATTTAAATAGTTTAGAAACAATTTATTTTCAAGGTGGGCATTAACTTAAACTGTTACTTAAGATAATATATCTTCTAGAAAATCTTTAAATCAGACTTCATTCCAAATATTGCTGGAATTAACTTCTGTACTGGAATTAAAAATCAAGTAAAAAAAAATTGATATCAAGTAAAAATCTGGGATCATTTGCTGTTGTTGACATGACATGTAGTTAGCATGATGACATCATTAAAACAAGAAATAGATACTAAATGTAAAAAAGAACAAGGGATATAGTATTTATTAATGACATTTCTTTGTATTATAATAGAATAAGGCTTGATTGGTAACTGTATCCATTTATCAAGATCAAGGATTTCTGAAAGTAATTACAAATATCTTTGATAAGACCAACAAAAATGAGATATACATTGACAGTGGAATAAAAAGTGATTTACTCTTGCTATTGTAAAAGATGTTATTGGAGACAATCAAAATCTGTAAAAAATGTTGAGTAGATTAAATGTAGATGTTGCATATCGCCTTGGATTTAATTTAAAATGTGCTAACAGCACATTAACATTGCTAATTGTGCTAACAGCACATTAACAGCATCTTAAGGTTATTATCTCATTTTGGTAAATATGTCTGCTTGTGGTGTGAAGGTGAATGTTCCCTATAAAATGGTATTCGAAAAACATTAGGTTCACTTGATCATTGGTACACGATATTTGTTAAAAATGGGGCAAAGCTATCGCAGATGAAAGATTTTAAAATTTTATTAATACTAAACTTATTTAATTTGATAAAAATCTTAAGATGAAATTAATCACTTAGTTCCACTACCATAATTACATCTTCTTGTGGGGATTGTGACACATTGGCCATGTTTACAAATTGGCTCAAAGAACATTATATCTTATTTTGAGGTTACCATACGTAGAATATCATATGTAGAATAAGCTTTGATGGCAACAGTGTCAAAACTTTTAGAAAAAGTAGATATTTTAGAGAGAGATACATACTTTTTATTGTCTCAGAAAATTTTCCAAAGTTAAAAAGTGCACTTTTGGACAAGAATTAGGCAGCTTCAGTTGATGTTCCTTCAGTTATTGAAGAATTCAAAATATCACTTTCTAACCTACAACTGTATGCAAAAACACATTAAAATGCAGAGCTGAATGTTACATGGAAAGTGCATATTGTTGTTTGCCATATTCTCCGATTTGTGAAATCAAATTGTTGTTCTTTAGGATCATATGCTGAACAGACAGGAGAGGCTGTTCACAGCATCTTTAAACCAAGTTGGTCTCAATTAAAGTAAAGGATTAGGCAAACAGATTATGGTTATGGATAATTATTCAAACAATTGAAATTCCCTACTGCAGCTTTTTGTATAGATATGATGTAAATATTATAATATATAAGTAGTTGCATTAATATTTGTGTTGAAGTTATTGTTTTTTCTTCATTATTACTGTAAGGAGTTTTGGTGTATTAATATTATTAAATTTAAGTTTAGAATTGTAGTTTGAGTAACTATTACTTTAAGAAGAATAACAAAAGATATTGATTTAAAAAATTGTTATTTTTATTACAACCTTAAAGGAGGAGGAAGGGATTACTCTTTTAGGGGGTAAATAAGATATTTAGGGGGTAAATAGGGTATAACAAAAAAAAAAAAAGTTTTTTTAGTACTTCTGATCTACTTTCTATTTCTCTAACACAAAAAAAATCATCTATTTAAGCAGCAGTTATTATCATATGAAATGAAATTAAAGGTCATTTGATTAATCTAACATTCTAGACAAGACAAATATTTATATTATTATTTTATTAAAACTTGACTGTCATTTGATTAATCCAACATTCTAATTTCACTAGAACTATAATTTATATACTAACTTGTTCAACACATTGCTAAAGCATTTACCAGCCAGATTTTCAATTAAATAATATGGACCTAAATAAAAAAAAGATAACTAAAAAAAAAAATGATTTAATAAACTTAATGTTACTTTAAAATATAAAAAAATTGAAAAAAACTGTCTAAAATTTTAATAACTATATTAACTATAACAAATAAAAAAATGTTCTTAATATATAAATAAATGCACGAAAATTTTAAATGTTTTTAAAATAGCATTTCACTCACTTAACCGGCATTGGTTTCAATCACTTAATCAACATTGCAAAAAAAAAAAAAAAATTAGTTTTACTCACAAAAAAAAAAAAAAAAAAAAAAAAAGAAGATAATCAACGAATGAAAAAAGTTGAATTGATAAAGACTGATTAATGACTTTAGAGTCCATTAGAAGAAGTGAGAACACAATATTATTATTTTTTTGTTTTATTTTATTCATTTTCAAAAACAGTTGTAAATAAATTTAGTTCAAAATAATTCAGTGAAAGTTAAACAGAAATAATTTTCAACATATAGTCTTAACCATTATAATATATACAATTGTAAATCTTGATAAAAAGGCAATTAGCATTTGTTAATTGCCTTTTTATCTAGTTATTTGTTACAAACCAACCAATTAAATAGTTAATATTTTTATTTTTCAAAAAACTTTCTTAATCATTAATTGGTTAAATTGTAACAAATTTTTAATATAATTTAAACTATTTATGACAAATTAATATATATATATATATATATATATATATATATATATATATATATATATATATATATATATATATATATATATATATATATATATATATGTTCATATGTATGTATGTATGTATGTATGTATGTATGTATGTATGTATGTATGTATGTATGTATGTATGTATGTATGTATGTATGTATGTATGTATATATATATATATATATATTAATAATAATTGTATATATAAATATTATTTTTGTATATTATAAGTTTATTTAAAGTAAAAAAACCTGATAGTCTCTGAGGTTTCACCCGAGTAATGAGAACCTACAAAAAATAAATACCTAAGAAATGAAACTACTTACTACTTAAAAAAACTGATTAATTATTTTTCAAATCTATCACTGCTTACATTGAGTTAAGTAATCAATGGTGTAAACAATGTTGGAAATAAGGCCGAAGTTAACTTGAAGACCAAAATTTCAATTAAATGTGTTGAATACACATTTAATTAAAATTTTGAATACACGTTTAATTGAAAAAGAAATTTTATAAAAACAATGAAAGTTGATTTTTGAATAATCATTTTTTATAATCCAAAACTAATATTTTTTAGCACATAATAAACTATACTTCAAAACATGACAAAACACAAGTGAAACAAAGTAATTTTTATTTTTTAAACAAAAAAATTTAGGCTTACAAAAACTAACAACAATTTTTGCTAAAAAAGTATAAAAAATGCAGCAATTATGAGAAAAATTAAGATATGCAATCTCTACAGCTCTAAATATTTTTAAAAGAACATTAACAAAAGAAAATTTACAAAACTCTTTTGAATGTCTATTTTAGATGTCAATTTTATAAAGGACAAAAATTGTGAAAAAGATTATGTTAAATATTTACTTGTTTTTTACCTATACAACTTTTTTCAAGAGATAATAAAATTTTTTTCAAGAGATAAATATTTTCTTTTAAAGAGATAAATAAAATTTAATAAATGATGAACTTAAAGAAGAATTTTGACAAGCTTAAAGAAGACTTTTCAGTTATTGATTGTGTAAGAAAAATCTATTTCTAATATGTTTCCTTTTCTTTTTATTATTATTATTTTTAGTGGTTACAACTTTCTCAACTCTTTAACTCCAAAACACAAACCTGAACCAACAAGGCTGCTGCCTTTTGGTCAAAGAGTTGCGGTGATAAGAGCTTGGGGACAAAAAAAAACCCAATCTTTGGGCCGACGTGGGAGCAACAAGTTGATAAAATAATTTCTTTATTATTTTTATTTAAGTTTATATTTATCAATGAATTTCAAATTTCATGCAATAACCTCTTAGTTTTTAGTTTTTATGACCCTACAAAGTTTACATCCCCCTCAAATTGAGGGGGGTTAAAACTTTATATGGTCATAATTTTTGAAAAATAAGAATTTATTGGATGAAATTTGAAATTTATTGATGAATATAAACTTAGATAAAAATACTAAAAAAATTATTTTATCAACTTGTTGCTCCCACGTTAAGGGCTGGGTAGGCCCAAAAATAGGGCCCACCCAGCCCTTAACGTGTCAAAAAGTATCAAAACTCAAACATTTGTCACAATCAACACAAGTGTCACAACTCAAACAAAAAGTTCAGTGTACACCACTATATATATATATATATATATATATATATATATATATATATATATATATATATATATATATATATATATATATATATATATATATATATAATCTCTATGAATAATGGTTTTCTTTT